TCAGTGGGATCACTTGAAATGATTTGTTATTGTAACCGTTTTGGAATACACTCTGGGGACCTTACTAAGATAGATCGATAGGTCCTTCCTATTTATATATGATCGCCTGGACAAGTAAACTCAAAACACATTAGGATGCGATCTCATCGTTCAAATAGTGCGTATATAAGTTTTGTTTTCTTCTTAATGATGGCTTATCCTTTACAGTATATTCTTCGAATAGGTGTTTAAAGTCTCTTTTTAGTTGTCAGATTCTGCGAATCCCCCTATATGGTAACGTAATATAAATATCTTTATTTTAGAACTGGTTGAACAATGCATCTTATTTGTATAGCATTTCCATTGCCATTGAATAAATCTCAGGAGATAATTGTTGTCTAATAATACTTTGGTGAGCTTTTGTGTTTCCAGCGAATCCGGTTGAACAGACACTTAACTGGTGGATAGAAACCACAGTAATTCAGTTACCATCGTCTTCATATAGATTTCCTACAGAAGGGTCATTTTATGGGCCGGTCTTGCCGGTAACTTATGAAAACGTCCGGGAGAGCCAGGTGGTTATATCTTTCTGTACTACTTTTAGATACTTTCATTTGATTGAGAATCGAAATAGCATTTTTCAGCTTATCACATAATTACGACATCGTCTGCATGTCCTTTGTGGAAGAGAAGCTTTAAGATAGAGTTTTAAGCTACACTTTTGACGTTTAATGCACAGACGTCTGCTGCAAGGGACTGAAAGGCCTATCATTACGTGAGACTCTACATAGTCACGTATGAAGTTGCAGACTCATAGTAACCATAGTAGCATATTGTTTGTTATTACAGCTTTTTAAAACATAATGTAATGGAAAATGATGTGATAAGTTTAAGTGATACTGAGGAGTTGTAAAAGGGACAAATGATGAATACCAACGTGAAGTCAACAAATCCCCACACAAACCTTCAAGCTGAATTACTGTTTAGTGCTGATTATTGATTTGCGTCAAGGTGAGATTTCCTAAAGTTCAGATGAGAAGTCATGACAGGTGGGGTATACTAAGTCGGATAGGTACTCAACGATGGCAGTGGATGAACGTTATGCTATAGCGTGAAATGACAGATCTTCACTGGTTCTGCAACTCATGTCTGTCCATGTTGAATGTCTCCTTGATATTCATAGACCTTAAAGGACCTAAAAATTGGAAAAAGAATTTATGTGTCATCCAGCTAACCAAGTGCAAATTATATTTACATCTAATCAACAAAAGATCTACTAATGTACGACAGCAAGTTCGATTTAAGCAGTTGACCTTGCAGACCGCACGTTTCCCTTCAGTTGATATTATGATCACGTCACTGAATAAATGTTATCTGGATATATTTATGCAGAATTGAACTTTTTTCACTGTTCTATATGAGCTTAGGTTTGTTTGAGCCTAGGTTAGCAATTACACATCAGTAATGACAGTTCTAAATAATCCTTTCCAACAATAAAAAGTATTATTAAGTCAAATTTTGAGGACAGCAAGAAATATATGTGAATATGACCTGATCTATATATTATTGTTGTTATTACTTGTCCTCTGCATTCCGAGTGGAACATATTGATTCAGTAGCACGTCACCATTTCACTCTCTTCTCTGCAGTCTTTTCAACCAGGCTCCACAACTGCCCACAAGCTTTCATTTCTTCCTCACATGATCTCCTCCATGTCATCATCGCCTCAGATACCCAACTAGTCGTTTCCCATTTTGATTCCACTCGACTGCCTGGCCTAGCCTAATTTGATGCGTCATGTCCCCAAACGGTCTTCTCAGTGCATGCCCAATCCATCTCCACTTTCCTCTGCATATTTGTTAGGTGATGGGTTCTTCGTCGTTTCTTTCGTTGGCAGAACAGAGTGACTTCTTGTTGCTTATTCGTATTATTCTGGTCATCTATCTGATCCTCAGTGTCGGTATTGAGTGAGCGTAAGCGGTAGCTGTAGGTATGTGTGTGTGTAGTTTGTTTGATATGCTTTTCATGACGTGCCAAGTCTCTCCCCCATCACATGGAAGCACTGGCTTCACTGACATTGGTGTTGAGAATCCGGATCTTTTTCACGCTTTATGCTGAGTGCAGTGCATTAGATGTCCACATTGATTGTTTCAGGTGAGTGAAGGTGTGTCTTGCTGTCTTTCTGATCCTTGCTACTTTGACATCCTCATCTGTGCTACCACCTGTAGTTGAAACGACATAAATCACCACCGGCGAAATCCAAGTCTTCTAGGCTCTTTTCACCGGTTAAATAGCGTATGCCCATTTTCTCGCTCCTCACGGCTTGCTGCATGATCAAGTCGAACATAATCGGGAAGATCATTGTGATAGTAGGAGCAACCTTGTCTTACTCCTGGCTTCACTTCAAGGGTATCACTTAGCTTTCCTTTGTGAATCACTTGCATTCACAAAGAATATGGATAATTAAACAGTAATCTCTTTCCAATTAACCACATTACATCGTCTATGCCTGATAAAATTGTGTGCATTTATGTATACTCATGAAAAGACGGTAATATGAAGGTTAGTTATTCACTTTTAAGAAAATTCACTCACTCGTCACCAGTGAGTAGCCAGTGTACCTCCTTAGTCCTCAGTATTTAGCATCGATATATGTCACTTGATCGAGTTCCCAATATGACCACTAAGCGAAGTGATGCCAAACTGTAGTGGATTGTATTTAGGTGTTAGGTGTTGGAGTTAATCAGTAAGAAGATCAAAACTTTGATTTTGTCGTTGCCAATCTTTATCAATGGGGTTTGTCTGCAACTATGAGTAAACTGACTTTCTCTTGGTGGCTTGTACCCGCATTTCTCAGAGATGGGGAAAGAAACTCAACCATAAATCTGTTCAAGCCGCAACTGATTCCTTGTGGGATTAGAATATGTAACTGAATTACTCATCAATGAGTGACCCATGTGACTGCACAGTCCTCAGCACTTGGAACTTATCGACGAATATTTATTGTTAGGCTAGGGCATAGCAGGCTATGAATACTAGTTGAGTGGCTTGTTTTACATGCATTTTACATGCACTGTCATGTTCACATACTAACCAGCTTTATCTGAGCTGTCTAGTTGGGATTTTTAAAATACTAGTAATTTGTTTTCCATTCAAAATGATTCTGTGACAGAAAGAATGCTACGAAAGAGAAGTGACTTAAAATACCGCCGTAGAAAGTTGTCAGTGACCGCTTCACTTACACTAAATAATTCGCTGTTAAATAATACTCGATGGTTTTTCGTCCAAGATTTGTTTTATGGTATATAACTCTTTATGACAGTGATAGCATAGCGGAAAGTTTTGTCCAAAGGTAATTTTTTATTCGCTGGTTTCTTAGCTAATTATCGTGTAATGTCGAGTTGTCAATATACCTGGAGAGAACTGAATAGTCAGTATTGCCGAATGGAATCTTGTGTGGATACTTAAAATTTATCGATACTTTCATTTCTTTAAAAATTATGGTTAGTGGCTTATTGGGAAATCTAGGATGCCTGTTTTTGTTTAGTATATGAGAACTACCAGCTAGATGTCTGCTATGACCGGTAATGCGAACTAGCAGTCTATGAGCGATACAAACCCAACGTACAAAAGAACCTACTCTAACCGGTTATGAGAACCCCAATTACAACAACAACAATACTGATGGCACACGAAGATAAGAAGAGAAGACGGATGGTGAACAGAGAGCTTTTGCTGTTTCACCAACAATCAAAACAGTTGGTAACAATGCTGTATAAATAAATTATAAATAATCTTCACAACCACTGAATTCCCTGATAAGTTAAGAACACTGACAATCTATGACGGTTCATCCTTCAGAAGTAGTGGGAAAAACAAAAGCTAGCAATGGCGTCATAAAGGGGAACCTCAAGAGTCACCCTGGTAACGTTTGAAGTAATCAATTAGGTTTCTTCATTTCGGTTGGACTGGCAGATTTTCATGAAATAGAGCGGTCTACTTGGTTACTTCAGTTGTTGCTAAGGTGGTCTTTAAAGTCACTTCATCAAGAAGGCGCAAAAGCTCCAATAATGAAGATATTTTAAGGTTATATGCAAATATTATTCAGAAGTTAGGCAAAATTAGGAGTATGTAATAATGTTCCAGTCTGGTGTTGTTGTTTCCATTGAGATTTAGGTTTTGCACAAGTTTCCTATGGCTTTCTAATTGTTTTTTCAACAGCTTCTTTGGTTTAAAGCGCTTAAATTTCCTCAAGTCTATAAGACTATTATCTATAGGTCTTAGAAGTGTGATTATTTACTTCACATCAATGATTCTATTACTGTACCACAAGGAATCTTGAAGATAATACAGATTTGGTGTCGATTCACCTAATCAGGAGAACATGATCGCCGTTTGAACGCTAAAATACTCATTGTCATAAAGTTTAACATTCCTGATAAACAATCAGCAGTAAACTTAAGAAAAATTTCTGTTGCAAATCATACGAACAGCCTTTATTCAAAAATGTTTTTTCTGTAAAAATATACACACATTCATATTTCATTGTATACTATAAATATGTTTACAATTTGTAAACCTTCGAAGGGTAGTTTTATTCTGAGAATATATGACATACATGTGTCTAAGATATGCAATTATATACGCCAGCATCTCGTTATTAATCCACATATATCTGGATTATGTGTGTACTTGTATAAGTTAGGATTATTACGTGCGTTCACACTTGTACATCAAATGACATTTATAAATCCAAATGGAAATTCAACTTTTTTTGGAATTAAAACAAAGTAAAAATCTATGCTGATAATGATGGAGGCCATGTATAAAATAAATGCCAGTAATTAAATGTATATTGCACATGAATTGATTTTTTATTAAATTTTAATAGATTGAAAAGTATTGGTTGTCATGAAATCACTATTTATTGAGTTATATAAATTTCTATTGTAACTACAACTATTATTATTAATGTATTGCTACTACTAGTACTATCATCATCATCATCATCATCATTGTAGGTTAAGTTTAAATGAGAAAAGAAATTTATTCAATCAACGTGATCAACAGGGACAATACAGTTTAACAAATAAAACCTTGAATATTTCTACAGAACCAGTTAAACGTGTTATACGTCGTAAAACGCAACCAATTACATTGGATGATTTAGCACGAGCAAATCAACTTATTTTAGAACGATATTATGGTAAACACCTTGGTAAGTAATATATGTATATTTATGCATATTCATCAACAATTTTCATAATATATTTACTCAAAATGTTAAAGTCACGAGAAAATAGTTTTTAAATGCAAAATAATAAGATGTAAGTTTTTTGAACCATATAGTGTGTTTGTACAAAACATTTCAAAGAATTCGATCATACACGTATCTATCATATGAAAATTCACAAGGATATAGGATGAGAATGTTAAAACAAATTAAGTGGAAAGGTCGAAAAAGCAATAGAGCAAAAAATGATAATACTTGAACTTGGTTTCCAGTTGAATTTTTTACCAAGGGAGATTTAATGTGATAACAAATTGTTTTTGAAAACACAAGTATGGTTTAAACTACCTAATAGCTAAAATTTCAACAATTTTAAGGATCCATCCATAACACGTTTTGTAAATAGGTATAAAGGAAGTAGCAATGTCAATCCTATGGCCTATCTCAACGATATGTAGCGTGATCGAAGAACTTGGACATTTGCTTTCAACATTTATCGGTTCAGATGATTTAATCGCTTCGGAAGCCACACTGAAATAAGCTCCAAGTCTCTTACTTGCAGGATCTAGGAGTTCTTCTTGTGTATTTGTCACCACATGTATTGAAAATGACTTAAATAATTTGATATCTCATACATTTTGTTCCAAATTTGAGCAAATGAACAGAAGACTCATTCACAGAATGACGCAGTTTCACCTTATTGTGTTGTAGTCTGCTTGGTTGCTAGCAGAGGAACTCAGGACACGTGTTTCATCCTGTTTAAGACTCATCACTCACTTGTACCAGCACCTAAATGAATGATATTATTCCTACCGGGACTCGAACCTAGTACCTATCCCCTCAAACGCCACTAGGGAACAATGGTCATCTCTTGTGTAGCGGGTTGTTGTTTGATGCTGGTAATCTTTCATTGTTGAATTGGGTCGAAATAGCTAGACCTCTGTTAGCAGATGAACTGCATGCTACTCCCTTGATACTTCCTGAGTATTTCACTTCAATGTCTCACTCCAGGTGAGCAGCAGCTTACATACGATTACATGGATAATTCTCGTCCAATGTACAAGCCAACAGAAATTCAAAAAGAAGCTGCTAAAAGAGAAAATTCTAAGCTCACCGATAACTGGAGGTCATCACAATCAATAAATGTGATCAAAACTCATCAAATAGAAAGTAAGACATTCTGTAGCCGAGATAAAGTAAAGAGAGATTCATTCTCTCACTTTTTTTAGGCCGCTGCTTTCGCATGAAGTTTTGTCTAACTGAAAACACTTTCATGGGACTAAAGTTATAGATTTAATCGCATATAGATAACCACTCACCTTGACTGATATTCTGGGCAATTTTAATCTGCATCCAGCTAATGAACTTCTGTGAAACGATCTGAAATCTTTTATTGTATCGATTCAATATTTGTTTAAATATGCATGGTACAAAAAGGGAGAGTTTGCCAACCAGTTAAGATAAAGTATTGCTGTCAGTGAAGACTTTACACGAAAGCACTTTTTTATGAAATCATATAAGTTGAAATGACCACAACCCGTTTCTTTTACGTAAATCAACAACACAACTTGACATTATCGTTTCTAAAGCAATAAAAACAGGCTGGAATAGACTTTATGATAGGTAAATAGATAAGTTACAAAACCAATAATTCATTAGCTGCTAGTTTGTGCATTTCTGTAGTTGCATAAACTGATTCTTTCCCTATTCATTTATGAACACTTAACATTATTTAATTGTACATGTATCGAATTCCTATCCTTTCATCTCGTTTTTGCAAATGGTATTTTCATTTTTGGGGTTTGTGACGATTTATTGATTTCAAGTTGGTATTCATTACGATCTGGCATCAGCTGGAGAAACATTGAAAAATATTCAACCACGGTGCTGAATGAAGGTCACGCCATATTGTAAATTGACAGAAATAGGAAGATATGGGCCACTGAACTCTGTCTGACCCAGTGGCTCATTGGTAACCTGGTTGCCGCCAAAGTAGTAGGTCCTGAGTTTGATCTCTGGGGGGTAGTCGTGGGTGCGCACACCTGAGAAGTCCCATACTGGCGAAGAACAGCTGGTTGGGCTACCAGGTTCCTTGCGACTCTGCGACTGATAAATATAAACATGAAACTCTTTATTGTTTCAGAAGTGGTGATAAATGTAATATTATGTGAACTGATTAATCATTACAGTGGATTGTTCTATACTTTCCCTTTCCGGACAGTAATGATGATTACAGCCTTGATCAGTATTAAACAACGTGATATTGGCAACTGATATTATCTTCAGCATGTGAGAAATGCTTGTGGAGGCGTGTGAAAGTAGTTATAAAGTTGTAATATCATATAGTATGCCTCAGGCGTCAAGAGTACTTGCATGTTAATTCTTTCTTCCAATGTTTCTATAGAACAAAAAGCTTGCACATCTTTGACTAATCCCCGTCTGTGAGTGCTCCAGGTATCCATAATATTTTACTCTCTTCTGTTTACTATCGGTGTCTCAATCATGTTATCAGATATATCCTTCAAGTCCGGTCTCTCTTTGAAGTATTTAAGTGATTCAGGATTACAATGAAAGGCTCTTGTTCCAAAGAGCGAATATTTTGACTACGTCTATGACTATGATATATAATCAGATCTGTAAAGTATCATCACTTCTTGAGATTTTGTAATGGCCTAAATAATGAGTGTTTATATCATTGACTCCATCAACGTCCTAGCAACTGCTTTCCATCAAATAACAGCAGTTAGGAAATTTAGAATTTAGCACCTAGATTAGTTTTGAAAAGTGTAGCTGTTGTGATCAGATAGTGTGACACGTGACGACAAGATGTTGACGAAGTGTAGAAAAACTAGAGACAACTACTCAACCAAAACTCGAAATCATCATCAAGGCATAAATATTCATTACACCATCGATCATCATCCAGTACCAATACAAGTCTATCAAAACGTGGCCGTCTCAGAGAGTCCAACTGATCATATTCCATATATTTTTCTTGGTTTGTTAATTCTATCCAATGGCTTACTAACCGTCAAACGTTTATTCGGTAATTTTAGTCGTAATTATTTTACTATAGAAGTGTGCGGTACTTGTAACAAGGCCAGTTAGTGATACTGGACTTGATAGGAACAAGAACTTTTACTGCTGCACAGTTACAAACATATCAGATGTTTGGAGATAATCGGCAGGTAGTTCTCAAATTAGATATCCTGCCTGTTGGCTCTCGTTAGCAAGGCGTTATCTATAAACCTCAAAGGAACTTATCTCCCCTAAGCTTATCAAGCCCGCATCACCCATCGTTGCACTCAGAAACACTACAACTCGATTCCTTGGATCACTTATGATCATAAGTAGAATTGGATCACACGCTTTCGTTAGCCGCCGGAGAGTAACTAATTTCATTATGTCTAGTCCTAAGCATTGAACGAATGGTTATTGGTTTAACCACTCTGAAGCAAGGGGGTTATTTATACACTTTTGATGAACTGAGATATAGAAATTTGTTTTTTCTGCCATATATGAAATACTGCAATCAATTTTAAAGACTTAAATTGTTTGTGATGGAAAATTAGAGCTGCAACTGGCCAGGGAAATATGATCGTTATATTCTTCGAAAGTTACCCGGTCAATTCGGATAACATTGGAATTAGCTATTAAGTGATTTCAGGAGGGCTGAATAAGTTGTGGCATACACAGTGAAATATTCAGAAAATGTCTGTTTTAATTTTGCGAAAGCGGTAGGATTAAATTAAAACTTTCTTGTATAAACAAGCAAGTTTACCATAATGCAAAATGTATGCTTAAACAATGAAAATTAGATAGTAATCGGTCCAACAGCAGTATGAACAGTTCAGGTTACTCAACGTGGACCCAAGCTCAGCATCTTCTATCAGTTTCTCCTTGGATTCCATTGTTACCCTATTCACCATTACTATCAAATCGTTAGTTAAGTTCATGTCCGGATGAATGTTTGGAAACTTCATCAGTTATTTGAACTTTTTGTCTCTATTCCATAAATTCACGTTTATAATTTACTGAAAGTCGCCTGCAAATCTCGTATGATATAATTATTAATACTATTTAGCATAAACTAGAGAATAGTCTTGTTATTCTATGACCTTAATAATTTATCAGTTAGCAGCTTATCAACAATTCAACATATATTATGAATAGTGAGTGCTGTTGAATTCTGTAAATCAACCTTATTGGGAGCTTGAAATTATGAAATGATGAGGTTTCAGACCTATAAAGTCACTTTTCACCCTAAGCAGCTCATTTTCTAGTATACAGACATTCACTAACGCAGTATAACAACGTTGTTTACGAAAGCCAAGACCACAACCACACATTCACACACACACACACACAGAAATACGCTTTTTACTCTATTGTTAGCCTTCTTACTATCGTCAGAACATGTGAATATGAGTTGAAGTATTCTATTAAACTACAATGACGCTGTTGTCATCATCATAACTGGAAAATGTTCTTCAACTAATTAATATGAATATCTACCATAACAACTACGAGGATTGCTCCTTATTATTTTCATTTATAGTTTGAAAGATCTATGCAGTCGCATAGGAGCTTTATTAGATCTACACAAAATCCATCCTGTTAATAACAAAACAATGGTTTATAGAAGAGAAATCACTCGTAACAGAGGCAGATAGTCATATCAACGAAAGTCATAGATAGAATTGCATTAGTTTAAATAGTGACACTTTACGAAAGCTTTGAAGAGGAGCGAATAAACTTAAATGACGTTTCTGAGAAAGGAACATAAATAAAAAAGTTAACAGTGTATGAAATTTCGATGATGTCAGAAGGTGTATACACAAATGTTACTATGGCTGATTTTGGATCCCATCCGTAACCCTTAATTTCTATCATCCTGAGAAGTTCATTGGGATGGCTTACATGTCCTTACAGAGTTTAAGTCAAATGTTAGATGATTTATGGATTGATGTCATGGCCTGAATTGATTA